AATTGCCTAAGAGTGAACATTTTCGTTATTTAGGGTCAATTATCACAACAGCGGGAGAGATTAATGCAGATGTGGCCCATAGGATTAAGGTGGGATGGTGTAAGTAGAGAAGTGCGTCTGGAGTATTGTGCGATAAACGAATACCCACTAGACTAAAAGGTAAGTTTTATAGAACGGATATTAGACCAGCTATGTTGTATGGGACGGAGTGTTGGGCAACCAAGAAACAACATGTAGATAAGATGAGTGTGGCTGAGATGAGGATGCTAAGGTGGATGTGTGGTAAGACTAGACAAGACAGGATTAGGAATGAGTGTATTCGGGAATGGGTAGGAGTAGCACCGATAAAAGATAAGTTGAGAGAGAATCGTTTGAGATGGTTTGGTCATATTCAACGGAGACCAATAGAGGCAGTAGTGAAGAGATGCGATGCTGTAACGGTAGATGGAAGTGTTAGGGGACAGGGTAGGCCTAGATTAACGTTGACTAGCGTTTTAAATAGAGATATGAATCTACTTAATTTGACTAATGAAATGGCTTTTGATAGGGCCGCGTGGAGAAGCAGGATTCATGTAGCCGACCCCATTTGATGGGACTTAAGGCTTGGTTTGGTTTGGTTAGGTATTATTATGTGACTTTCATAGTTGATCACTCTCGGTGTACATGGGTTTATTTCCTTAAAAAGAAATCTGATGTGCTTTGACTTTTTATTCAATTTCTTCAAATGGTCAAAACCCAATTTCACACTGTTGTGCACAACATTCGTTCTGATAACGTGGGGGGGGATGGAGGGGGAGAGTACATCTTTGATGCATTTCGCTCCTAACTTAATAAGCAAAGAACTTTGCAACAACTTACTTATACCTATACTCCTAAACAAAATGGGATCATTGAACATAAAAATCGTCATATTTTGTCTATAGTCTAGTGTCTTCTTTATGGGATCAATGTTCCCAAATCTTACTGGCATATGGTTGTACTTACTGCTGTTCTGTTTACCCAATTAATCGGACACCTAGTTGGGTTCTACACGAATTGGCTCCTTTTCAATTACTTCATACAGCCACCTTGTTATTTCCCTTAGTCCCCCGTGTATTTGGTTGTACTTGTTTTATTCAAGATCGTAGTCCTACTCGGACCAAGTTAGCTAACAAGTCTCTTAAGTGTATCTTCTTGGGCTATTTAGCCCTCTCTATAGGCTATAGGCATTATGATCCCTTGTCTCGTTGCTTTTACATGCCGTTTTAAAGGCTATAGGTGCTATGATCCCTTGTCTCGTCGCTTTTATCATTCTATGGATGTCACATTTTGTGAAGATATGCCGTTTTTTGGTTCTAGCCCCTTTATTGCAGGATTCTGCCTCATGCACACCGCCTCCTACTATGTCACCGAGTGCTCATCCTATTCTTATCTTTGATTCGGCTACGCCCTCACCTCAGCTTGTATTTGCACCTTCAAGTCCTACACGATTATAGACACTCTCTCGTCGCCCTCGTGCTCCCTCCCTCCCCCTCCAGTATATTCTTCGCCCTCAGGCCCAGGTACTTCCTCTCCTCTTCGCTCCCCAACCCCTTCCCGTTATTCAACCCATGAACATCATCCCCCAGATCATTTTGATTGGCTTAATAGAACTAATTACCCTATTTCCCAATTTTATGTTATGATGGACTTTCAGCTTGGCATAGGTCTTTTCTTGGAAAACTTGAGTCAGTTTCCATCCCTCGATCTGTGTCTAAGGCTCTCCAGAATCTCCAATGGGTTGCGACTGTGCAAACTGAAATGGCTACTTTGGAGCATAATCACACCTTGGCACTTGTCTCTTTACAGTGAGAAAACTGTTGGGTGCAAGTGGATTTTCAATGTGAAGTACTTGGCTGATGGTACAGTGGAATGCTACAAGGCTCATCTTGTTGCTAAGGGATTTACACAAGTTCCTAGCAAGGATTTTGGGGCTACTTTTGCACCTGTTGCTAAATTGACCACTGTTCATTTGCTTATTTCCTTGGATGCCTCTTATTCTTGGCCCCTTTATCAACTTGATGTCAAGAATAATTTTCTGCATGGAGACTTACTTGAGGCGATCTACATGGATCCTCCTCCCAAGTTTCAGGCTGAGAGGGAGTATGCTGGGTAGGTATGTCGTCTGCGTAAGTCTCTCTATGGCTTGAAGCAATCTCATGGTTCCATCGTTTCAACTCTATTATCTTACCCATGGATTTTGTTCAATGTGCTTCATTCGCCATCTGCCTAATGGTCGATGTATTATCTTGTTGGTTTATGTGAATGATATAATTCTTACAGAAGATGGCACCTTCAATATTGCTCTGGTAAAACAGGAGCTTAGTCAAGCCTTTGACATCAAGGACTTGGGTCCTCTCAAGTATTTCTTAGGGATTGAAGTAGCTCGTTCTCACAATGGAATATCATTGTCTCAACACAAGTACCTTCTAGATACCAGTATGATGGGATGCAAGCCTGCTTCTACTCCTATGGATCCAAATTTGAAACTTTCGACTGAGTATGGTGAGTTGCTTTCTGACACATTTCGATACCATAGATTGGTAGGATGTTTAATCTATTTGACTAATACCCAACCAGATTTGACATTTGCTGCAAGTGTGGTTAATCAGTTCATGCATGCACCTCGTACTGCTCACCTCGATGTTGTTCACCGCATCTTGAGATATCTCAAGTCTTGTCCTGGTTTGGGTTTATTCTTCACTACTAGGATTTAGACAGGGTTGTCCTACTTTACTGATGCAAACTATGCAGGGTCATTGACTGACAAACGTTGGACCTCTAGGGTCATTGATTACTTTCTATGGTACTCATCTTTTGTCATGGAAAACAAAAAGCAAGCTATCATTTCTCGGTCTTCTGCTAAAGCTGAGTACCGAGCCATGGCTCATGGGACATGTGAGTTACTATGGCTTCAATCCTTTCTTACTGAGTTAGGCTTTGAAGAAAATATTCCCTCCAAATTGTTTTGTGACAACAAGTCTGCCATATTACTTGCTTCTGACTCTGTGCTTCATCGGCATACTAAGCATATTGAAGTTGACATTCATTTCATTCGGGAAATAGTTAAAGCAAGTATGGTTTGTCCCTCTTTCCTTCCATCTTCTGATCATACTGCGGACATCTTCACCAAATCTATAGGACCATCTCTACTTGAGTCTTCCATTGGCAAGCTAGGTTTGGTCGATATTTTTGACCCAGCTTGAGGAGGAGTGTTGAAATATAGAATAGATTATATTTAGGAGATCCTGTGATTTGTATAAATTACGGTTATTTAGGAATTTATTATGTAATTAATTATTTCCTTTTCTGTCTATATTTTGTGTATCATATATTCATTATATATAGACATGGCCTCACCCACATTAGGGTACGCCAATTTTGTACAAGTTTGAAGTTTCTTCTGGGATTAGGAATGAACAAATTCTTAAGATGGTAGGGTTAGCATGTATTGAGGAGAAAATGAGGAAAATTTGATTAAGATGCTTAGGGAATGCACAACAAAGACGGACAATTACATCCGTTAAAAAAAGTGGTTACCTATATTGAGTAATGTTAGGAGACAAGGGAAGCTAAAAACACAAGGGTTAAGATGATAAAGAGAGATTTGTTACCTTGATCGAGCAAAATGGTGAATAAGATTCATGTAGCATGTATTGAGGATAAAATGAGGAAAAATTGATTAAGATGCTTTGATCAAAATGTGTCAATTCAGTTCGTGGAACTGTTGGGAACTAAAAGTTAGCTGAACTTTAATAGGGCTTTTGACCACTTCATATTTTCAGAATTGTGAATATACTCTGCTCACTAAATAATTGGGCTTCTGCTTTATTTTCTATCCTGTTATATTTAAAGTTTGAACAGACAGTTCAGGTAGCTGTTCCACTATATCTGATTTCCCCTATTTATCTATCATTCCCTCATTTCCTGCATGGTCAATTGAATTTGGCTTATGTAGATCATCACTACTGGTGTTCTATTGTGGAGCTATTGAGTTGTCTCCTGCCTCTAAATACCTTTGGGATTTTTTTCTTTTCACATTTAAACTTTCCATTCTTGATTGATGCATATGTATGGGTTTTGGGCCCCCTTGGATGTCCATTTCTGGTTTAGATGGTTTCCTTCTATTTATTTGGAGGTTTTTCCCATTGATAGGTTCTATACTTGAATACCTGATTTTACTTCTTTAATATACATAAGGAGGGGCTGATACGAGACGAGTGTACGAAGTTTATCATCATAATACCGTGCTCAACCTGAAGTCCTTGGCAGCATGCTTAAAACCAATTACGTACTTTAAAAAGATGGGAATTGAAAGAAAATAATAGAATGAGAAGTCTTTAAAGAAGTAACAGAAAGAATGTACTAAATGGAGGCAAAATAGATACCGTACTAAAGAAGTAACTGAAATGTTTCAATACTTTCTATTATAATATTTTCCAATGGAAACAGTGAGGAAAAAAGATTGGGAACGACGTGGCAAATATGAAATAACCCTTTGACAAGACTTCCAAAATTGTTTTCCCTCAGCTGTTAATAAAGATGCCACCATTGAGGATGGGATGCTGACTCTGTGGGGCTCACATCCAGTGGTGTCTATTGTACTTCATCATTGAGATCAGAAAAAGACAACACGAAGTATTTATCAAAAACAAAATAAAAAATAAATAAAATAAAATAAAAACACGGAGCAATCTTTCGAACAGCTTGTTGCATTGTGTAATATAGATAGGATTGAGATGCAAGACAAAACATGCTTAACACATTCATCAAACTCAATAATGTCTCGTGAGGCTGATTTAGAAATCATGATCACTTTTTGCCATGTTTAATTGCTTCCCTAGAAATGGAAGTATACTTCTTCAAATATTCAACAACGTGAACAGAATATTTGGTACAATTTCCAGTTCTGGACATCATAGGTTGGCAGTGAAGAAATTATACCAAAAAAAATACAATTAAATTGAAGGTGTCCAACTTACAAGCTGCAGCTGGTTTCTCTTCAGATCCACAATGTTGGCCAAGCAATATTGAAGGCATGCCCCCAACATGAAGAAAAAAAAGCGTTAGTTTACTGCACAAGAAATACTGTCTAAATAGCAAAAACTGTATCTTATATATATACACAGACACACTAAAACATGCATGTGCACACACATAACACCATAAAATTCAAAATCCAACCATCATTACAATCTCAGGTGTAACTGCTACAGGGAATATTATCTTTCTTTAAAGAAAATTCAACATTGATCTAACTCATAGAAGAATATTTGAGTCCAAATGAAAAAAATAAGACCTTTGGTTTATCGCTAGCTAAAAATCAAATCACCTTGAAGGACATGCTTCCCTGCCTTTAGCATCCTCAATGACATATCCACCTGCATGAATTGGTTCACATGCAATAGACAGTGTTAATAATTAAACTCATGATTTTATGACTGTTCAAAGCATCTTAAAACTCATGGACCAGCATAAAGTATAGAGGCTGGAAATGGAAGGCAGAGTGCTGGAACTAAAGCATGCTCTCTCTCTCACACTCACACACACACACACATTTATTTATTTATTTATTTATGTAATTTCTGTTGGTTTCAATTCATAGTTAGAACTTACGCACTTCAGACAGAATGATCAAGGAGTACTTCACCTTCAAAATGACAGGACCAGTTTGAGAACTGCCTCCACTGATCATGTAGCCAGCTTCATTTGCGTGGTACACAAGGTTTAGATTGGTTTGATTTATCATTGCAAAGAAAAATTCTTACAAAAATTTTCATTGGACAAATAAAATACAAAAAGGAGAAAGAAGCAAAAAAGTTATCACTCTATGTCCACTGGAATATCTAAAGTAGTAGGTTTGGCCAGCAGTTTTCCAGTTTTGCATCATACATACTATAAGAAACAGAACCAGCAAGGAAAAGATATCATAGGAATCTTGTTCATCGAACTCTGTGAATTTGGTGGATTGGCAAAGGTTTACTGAAACACTAATTTTATTTTATTTTATTTATTTTTAAACAGCTGAAGCACTAGTTTTATTACAAAGCCAAAATTCTTAAGAGAACTTGTCGTGGGTATTAAGATGAGCACTATTATGGGATATTTTAGTGCTTACAACACACACATCTTTGCTCAACTTCAGCAACTTAAGCCTAATAAGCACAGACACTGCTGAGGAGGAGCCATGTCTGTCACTGTGTCAAAGTCTCATGTGCCCAACACCAACACTTCTAGGAAACTTCTAGAAACATGTTCGACTCTTGGTGAACTTGTTTATAATCCAAAAATAAAATTTACAATATTAGAAATCCCTAGCAAACATGTGACAATGAACAGGCAATATGGTGTGGAAAAACCTATAATTGAAGACTATGCTACAGGGACTCGCATACAATTGTCTGGTGAGAGCGTGAGTCAGGGTATTTGAATTCAAAAATGTTTAAGACCCCTTTTCTCCCTACCCCCTTTGACCCCCTTTCTTTTTTGATTGGTCACTTTTTCTTTTTTTTTTCTTCTCCTCCAATCACCACCCGCCACGTGTGTGTGGGGATAGTGGGGGTAGAAGTTTGAAGGGGTCTAAATCACTGCTGATTTGAATTATGTGATCTTCAAATCCAGGGACAAAACCAACTGTTCATATTTTCAATATGCTTCATTCATGAAATAGTATTAATGTGGCTACTTCACTCATCAAAGAACAACTGCATCATGAAATGAACATCATGAGGTAGTCTTACAAACAATTACACAGTAAGTTTGGAACTAGATATTCTTGTTGTTTCATGCAAGACGTGTAGAACCAGAGCCAAAGACACAAAAACTAGCGCTCTGAAGAATTATCAATCAATATTCATTTTTCATACACAATCCTTACATACACGTAAGTATGTATTCCATAACCAATAAGGAAATTAACAAATAAATAAAGATACAAGCAAAATCCTAATAAAACTAAATCTCATAAAAATTCTAATATTTTGGTTGACGCCTCTTGCACCTAACCATATGTCTTTATTCTTCTCCTTCATTGATCCCCATCAACATGCCGAACAACATATTAATACATAAATACTCCATGCATTTACAAGTGTCCATGTAAAACAGATTGAAATTGAAAACAACATTGAGGATTCATAACTTCATATTAAAATAAGCATAAAACTTGACCACAGGTAACATCAAAGCAAGATGCATAAAGGGTTTATCAAAGGACTGGAGATGAGAGGACAGAAGGGAATTGTCAATGGATGTGTGCACACATTTCATGTCGTCGTAGTGTATTTCTCTACACACAATAGGTGCTTAGCAATTATTATGGATCATAAATTAAAAGTTTTATTCTGCAAGTTACATTCATAGAATATTAGTTTTTTCAATCATAAGGTTTTCCATGGCCTTGTTTTATTTTTTTAAGACTCATCAAATTGGCTTATTAGTATTATGTCATTGCTTGGGTTTGTGTTCCATGTATGTCTTCGTGTTTCAACAGCTGAGCTATATAAGTTCTGGATATATGAGAGAGAGAGAGAGAGATTAATCTTGTGGAGCTCAATATAAAGATGCAACATTATACAAACAGAGCAGGAGATGAGCAAGATTGTTTTTCCTATTATAACATCAAGCCTATCCCAATAACCCGGACAAACTGCACAAGCTGCCAATGGTTTTAAAGTACCAACAAAAACTCATGTCCATCATTTATTCACACAAATTAATTTCCTCAATTATATATCGATAACTAAACTAACCTTAAAAGCATTCCATTATTTTGTCACTTCTGGTATGCACTTTCTAAGAACAATACAAATAACAAGCTTAAATTGACATCACAATTTGAACTCAGTATGCAAACTTATGCCATTCAATGGCAAAAGTCTTTCAAGTGCTTTGATATTGTCCGTACCAAAAATGACACACCAATGTGGAAGTTGAATGGTCACAAAAGAGATGCCACACACGACTAGAATAGAGAGTTTTTTAATATTTTTTATTGGCACCAGGGTGTTTGGGTCAAAGCCCAAGTAATACCCAGGGGTGCACAGGCTCTTGGCAAAGAGTTTCCCGCAAGTGTACCACAGTTAATTCAATGGTTTTCCTTCAGTCCGAGGGCCCCAAGGAATTGTTGGCACCTAAGAAGTTTCGATCCCTGAACCTTAAATATAAATTAGAAAAGAGAGATTTTGCCCCACTAAAGTCTTCATACACAAGAATTAATGCATTGCAGAAAATTGAATAGACCTTGCAACAGTTTGATAGACCTAATAGTTAATTTGGGAGGCCTTTTAGTGAGTACAATAGGCCTTCAGAGTCCAAGGGGAAGTCCTTCGTGCTAGGCCTCATAACAGCTTGGAGTGGGTCTTAGGTAATGTCATGGGGTGATACAGAGGTGCAACAGTAACACATGTCATTACCATGTCGGTCATGATCAGTGGATAATTACATTATGGGTCAAGTAGCTGGCATGTAAAAAAAATAAGATGGAAACCCCACTAACTAACCACTTCAACAGGAAATGGGAGCACAAAATAAGAAAGTTAGGTTATGGGTAGATATCAACTATGAAGCACGGGTACGGGTATGAGTACTGGTACTGGTACGATACGGGTATGTCGATATGGTAAAATTTTAAAAAAATATGGTATGGGTACGGCTTAGTACACTTGTAAAAAAAAAAATTTATTTTTAATTTAGATAATGCAAAAATTAATTAAATGGTTTAATTTGTTAAGGTCCAACTTATAATTAACATTTAATGCCAAAAGTAAAGGTATAATCAAAATTAAATGTCAATATATTAAATAACTTACAAACCATAGTTTAATTTTAAAATCATACTAAGCATAAAACAAAAAATAAAAAAGAAAGTCTAGTGAAAGGAGTTTTATCTTTGTGGTAGAAGAAAATATTGTTTCAATTGAGGTATGGTATGGCTTGGGTGTATACTAGGTACGCCTGGGTACGTCAAAAATTAAGAGAAAAAACTTGTGGGTACGTGTTTCGTGTACCCAGTATGTATGAAGAAGTACCATACAAGGTACCATATGCCGGTAAATACCCGGCACGGGTACGGCATGTTTTTCGAAGTACCCATGCTTCATAGGATAGCAACCACTATCTCCTAGCAACTATATTTATAGGATATATATCCATGCTCCCCAGTCAACAACATTTAGGAAAATTTATCATTATTTTAAGGGTAAATTGCAAATACTTCCCCTAAGATTTACGAAAAATTATAGACTTTCCCCTTTAGTTTGAAAAATTACCGCTACGAGAGTTTGTCTTTTAACTGAGTTTAACAAAAAAAGAAACTTTACCTAATTACCCTCTAATAACAAAACAAAATTACCTAACTACCCTCATCTCCTTACTCTCACCCAAACCCACTCTCTCCATCACCACCATTGTGATAGCCAGCATGCATAACACATTCATGCATTCATTTATGCTAGGAAATTCTTTTATTTCATGGACATAATGCATATGATATGTTTGCTATGTTAGGACTTGGGCTTTGTTGAGTTTGAGTAGGAAACCTTAGTAAATTTGAAGAACTTGAATAAGAAACCTAAGGATGGAAAATTAAGCAACCATGAAAAGTTAGGGAAGTTGTTTGAATTGAAATATTGAATGCCTAGGTAACTTAGAAGACCTTAAGCAAGGAGCTTAATGAACTTAGTCTAATGAGTAGAGCCTAATGAGTACTTCATCAAAAAGTAAGTAGTATTAGCAAAAGTAAAACAAGATTACCTTAAGCCTAAGTAGGGTTAATTAGGCTAACCAAGATTAGGACTTAAACGAGGTTAATTAGAACTAAGCCTAGTTAACTAACCTAATGAGATAATTAGTAGATTAACCTAATCTACCCTACAAATTAGGAAGTTGGAGAAGGTTGGAGAGAATTTGAGAGAGTTAGAGTTCATGAGGGATTGCAAGAAGAACAAGGGAGAAAAGAAGGGAAAATCAAAGAAAAATTCAAGGGAGATAAGATTTGATCCTAGAAAACCGAAGAAAATCACTACAAGGTAAGAAACTCAATCCTCTTCCCTAGTTTGATATCAAAACCTAGCTAGAAATTCATTAGCAACAAGTTTTGGAAAGATTAAAATGAAAAGAAATGGGAAAGTTTGAAAACAAGAAAAAGGTTTGAAGATTTGATTGAAAAATTGTGTTTTGAGTTGTTTTTGTCATAGGTTTGAGTTATACAAGTACTATACCATAAACCTACACCATTTTCTTATACTTAGGAGCCTTCAAATATTGTCCTAAGATGTTGAAAAAAAGGAATAAAGAGAAGTATTGAAAAGATAAGAAATAGGAATTGAATCCTATCTTTTGTTTGTTGTAATCCTAGAATTACGTATACAAATGAGTTTTT